ACTATTGGAATGGGGAATAGCGGGAGGGGGTAAGTTTACAATCACAGGTAGATTTCTGAACAACCGCCCCCTCGCTCCGCCCCTGCCTACCACTACTCTCTCTCTCCCTCTCCATTTTGTTGTTAGTGGCCTCTTACATGTGCATTCGCACAACTAGTTTAATAAGAAAGAGAAACGACCAAGCATTTTACTCCACACACCACCCTGCATATAGGCTAGTGTGGAACAAATAATTGATAGTAAAATTAGAGTTGCAAATAAGTCAAATCAGATCCGATTCAAAGTGCTAAGAATCGGATTTGGACACCTCCGTCATGACCCAATCCAATCCTTAGTTAAAAGATATTATATATTATTTATATAATTATTATATATGTATATATATTTTAATATATTATTAATTATATTATATAAATATAATATTAGATAAATTTTTTAAACTATTCTTATAGTTTAGTTAATTGACCAAGTGTATTCTTACTGTTTGAAAATTGACTAGCGCTATCATTACTATTTCTGACAATTGATTAAAAAAAACTATTTAATCTTTTATATTTTTTTAAATTTTCAAAATAAAACAAAAAAAAATGGAAAAGGAACGATGATTCATCAAACCCAGCGATGGCTAACTTTTTCATCGTCCTCCTCTTTAAAAAAATTTACCCTATATATTACTTATGGAGACTTGATCACAAGTTTTGTTTTGAAGAGGGATGCACCCGCGTCCTGTTTTTATTCCGTCCCCCTCTGTACCCACCTGAACTCCGCGGTGACCGCAATAATGACAGTGGAACTGTACACTCCAAGTGCCCCACATGCTTTAAGATCAGTTTGAATTCTGACACCAGTTCCAAAGTCAAAGTCGACGATGGTTTCTGTTAAATGTTACAGTTACAACAATCTATGGAGCTTAATCTTGATCTTGATGGGCGGCAACCAATGGAGGATGAATTTATTATTATTTCTGTTAGGAAAAGCAAATCTATGTAGCTTTAAATGCCAATGGCTGCACGGCCTTAGAAGTTTTAGCAAAAAGGTTGGGAGATGCAAAAGACACCGTAATCTCGCTGCGTCACTGCGTCATCCTGCTTAGCAGTTGATAAGGGTTTTGGTTTTTGAGATCTCCTGCTGCTTGCTTTGTTTTTTTTTTGCGATTATTCTCCTGCTTTCTCAAAAAGCAAGGAAGAAGAATCTTAGACCGTACAACAAAGTCTGAAGCCCATAATGAAGAAAGCCTTTGATGATGTTGGAACCGAGATCTCTTCGCCGAAACTAAGATCGACATCTCTCCTCCTAGGTTTTCGTTTGAAACGGATAAAGAAGTAATGAACGAAGAAAGCCTTTGAAGATGTTAGAATTGAGATATCTTTGCCGGAACTAAGATTTATTCATCACGCTAGCTACATCGAAAGCCTTTGAATTTCAGAATGTTGGAATAATGAAGAAGAAAGCCTTCCTATGAGACTCAGACGAAGACCCGAAGATGGAGACGAAAAGGTTTTAGGGATGGTATTTTAGGAAAAGAGGTCCTGAAAGAAAATCTCTTCTTGATTTTTGTTAAAAATCTCTTCATGCTGATTGTCTTCAGCAAGAAGTTTTGAACGGATCTTAAAAATAAAGGTAAAATTAGTCAATGTAAATACACTTAGTCAATTAGTTAAATCATAAGGATAGTTTAATAAATTTACCCTATAATATATTATTTATATAATACTATCAAGTTTTTTATTACAATTTAAATCGAATAGATTAGATATACCTTTTACTGAATTGAATTCAATCCGAGCCTCAAGTAAAAGTAAAACAGCTATCAAACACAGAAATCCTTTCTCAATAAAAAAGGCGAAGCATGAAAAAGGTGAAAGGCCAAACAGAATGCTGTCCACCTTCCAACTCAAGCCTTTTAAAATTCCCCCAATGGTGCCATGGTTCCATTGACCCACATCAGCAATCTTCAGCCAGTGAGATCAGGCGTTGGATTTGAAGCCATAGGGAGAGAGTAGAAGAGAAATCAAAGTGGTGGCGTAGGTAGAGCCATAGATTGGGAAGTAACAAAAAGACTACCAGAAGCAAAAAAGCCTAAATCTTTTAGTTTTCAACAAATTGATTTGGATAGCATTTTAGACCTTGTATTCAAGTTTTAAGCATCACAGTCACTATCACAAGGAGTATGATAAAGCAATTTTAAGAGCCGTATACGCTAAGAAAACACTATGATATGGTAGAATAATCAGAATATGTAATGGATCAAATAATAAAAGAAAAAAAAGAATTCATCAAAAGGTAAGGAATGACCACATAACCTTTTTTTTCTTCTTTTTTTTTTTTTGAGTTAAGAAAAAATCCATAGACCTAAGTAATAGCTTAACGGAGATTTAGCACCCAAAACTACATTAGATACTCTAAATGCTTTTTTGGTTTCAAAGATTTTGTCTCCAAAAGTTGTTGATAAATTCTAGGTCGTTGGGAAAATCTATCATGCCCGAAAAATATGGTATTGAAAGAATTTTGACCAATCAAAATCCATCCGTGAATTTTCATAAATTTCGTTTGATTGGTTAACAAATTTATAACAGTGGGTTGGTCACATATTTTTTGGATATCATCTTTTTCTGGTATGATAGTTGAATCCTTTGATGTTAGGTCTCCCACAAGAGATCAAATCAGTCCCCCAATGTCCCACATCACAACCCTGCCGTGTATTGAGAATATCTCCCGATGATATTATTAGAAATGATGATGTCATCATCGGAAGATATTCCCAATACACGGCGGGGATGTGCTGTGAGATGTTGTGGGGGGCTGATTTGAACTCCGCCCACAGTCAAAAGAACCGGTTGGTTGTACTTTGTCATTTTCACTCAGTAAGTTTTATTTGCATTATGAATTAATACTAGTGAAGGCAGGTAATGAGAATAATGTGAGGAGGAATGACCCATCAATGATCCAAATCAAGGTTTTTAAAATCAGATTGGACAGGGAACCATTCTGTGTTTGGTTCTTGGGTTGAACGGTCTAATCATTCAATCTGAATGGATGGCCCCCTCTGATAGAAAAAACAAAAAAATTAAAAAGACAAAAAACAGCCAAAAACCCGTTGTCTGGTCGATGGTTGGATGGTTCAACACCCAGATCAACAATTTACTGACCAAATCAACAGTTTTTGGCTAAAAAGTAGTTTTGGGGTAAAATGAATGACCGGTTCCCAGTTTTTTCTGGTCTCACTGGCCGGCCGATTTTAAAAACCCTGATCCAAATTATATTTCGATGGAGAAATGAAACCTTTGACGATAGGATGCATCGGGTTCAAAACTTGGTTTTTATTCGATTTTTTGGTTCATGAGGACCCTTATCCAGACCTATATGATATTTAAACACCCACAACATGGTAAAATTTAAACCCCCAAACACTTTTACAAAAAAAAAAACCCAAACACATTTCATAGCGAAAACAAAAGACACAATAATATACATATATATATATATATATATATATCTTTTAACAATAGAAATCTACCCAAACATAACCCAACTTTCTGTTTTATTTATCTAATTGGCTTAAGTTAAAGAAAATCTTGCCATATGATCATTGTATTATTTACATGGTAACACTCAAATGGTAAATTGATTAAAAAAAAAAACTTAAATAGTAAAACTTTGCCCATTTATAACTGCATTGGAGGCCAATGAAATGCGTCATCATAAGTACTATTGCATAAAACAACTCTGGATTCATATTTACATTGGACCGACTAAAGGGGTTTTATGCCGGCTACCTACCTGACAGGCTGACACAACCATGCTTCCTTCACCAGGGTTTGGATTTGGGTCTAAAAATATAAAGTTGGACCATCCCCAATATTAATCAATGTTTTTAAAATCGGACTGGATCAGATGGTCGAACCGAAAAAAACTGGGAATGGTTGAATTATTGAACTGTTGATTTGATCAGTGAACTTGACCGGTTTTGTTTTATTCTAAAATCATTATTTGGTCAAAAATCATTAATTTGGTCAGCAAACTGCTGATCCGGGTGATTAATCTGTTTGATTTGGAGATGGTTTTTGGCCGTTTTTTAGATTTTTTAAAATTTTTAATTTTTAATTTTTTTTATTAGAGCAGGCCATCCATTCGAATCGTACGATCGGATCATTCAACCTGAGAACCGGACCTAAAAAGATTCCCTGTCTGGTCCAGTTTAAAAAACCTTGATATTAACCCACTTTCCCTCTGTATTATAAATTCATTAGTCATGAATACACAATCCCCAATATTACCTTTCTATCTGTGCAAAATTCAGCTCGATCTATAAGTAGGAAAGCGGCTGCCTAATATTCATGCACATATTTCAGCTCCTATAAAAGGGGTGTCAATTTGACTGGACCACGTCCTGGTCCGATCTGGTCCAATATGAGTCCATTATAGATGGATCAGGTCCAATCTAATTTAATGAATACTTTGGACTATTTTGGATCAATTTATTACTGTTTTTTTGTTTTTTTTTTGAAAGAAATTCTGTTCAAACTGATTTTAATTTATATTCATTCTAACCCAAACCTTTGACACCATTATTTCTATTTTATAATAATGGACTGGATATTAATTCAACTCGATCCAATCCAATATAAATTCGTTGTGGATGGGGATCAAGTCCAAACTCCAATAAATGTTTTGAACCATTAAGACTGGTCCAATCCAATATGTCTCATTGATCCGTCCAATCCGCTCAAATTGATTTTAATTTGGACGGAGTACTATCCAAAACTGATCGATCCATTGACATCCCTACCCATAAAAAGGCCTGGCCCAATAGGCGAAGCTTAGGTGACTTAGGTACTCTGCCATACTCACGTGCATCAGCCCAACAGTTAACTGTCCAGGTCCAGGTCCACAAATGCTATTTTCTTTTCTTCTTGTAAATACTAAACCCTGCGTATTCACCCCTTCCAATTTTCAGTTGCATGTCAATCAAATCCAACACAAGCTTTAATCTCTGGATACAAAACTACATATATTAATCAGGCCTTTTGAGCCCAACAAGCCCACAATTTAAGATTGAAATGGCTTTTGTGGATGTAGGAGATCCAAACTCCATTGCTAACTGCTGACATATATAGATGTTCACTTGACCAGCCAGATCATCCAGAGCCCAAATCATACGGGCCCAGCTCAACAATTAACAATTTCTTGGATTCAAAACAATAATAGTTTTTTTCTTTTATGATTAAAAGTAATTTAAACAAATGAAAACGTCATCTTTAGAAGCCCTTCCTTTTCGTTTTTACTTGTTTTCAACTTTTCATATCGGGCCCACTTCAGTCTCCATCATATCAGATCCTGAGAACTGGGAACCTGGTCCGCAATTTCTTTTCTACACGTGTACAGCTCCGATCGCCTTCTGCTCGAATTGCTTGATCTTATCAGCCAGTTTCTTCATGTTATCGTCGTATACGTATGGAAGGTCGTCGATCCACGTAACATTGTTTTTCGCCGAAACAGGGAGCAATTTCCGGCACAGCTCGCCTTGTACCGATATAGAGTTGTGGTAGTGGTAGTATCGGATCTTAGTCTCGGTCTTGTGTAGCGTTTTCCCGATCACATTCTCCGACATGTGGACGCCGGTGGCGTAAGCGTTTTTGGCCTGTATCGCGTACTTCCGGTCTCGCCAAATCCCGGTTCGCGATTCCTTGAATAGCAACTTCTCGAATCCCCATTGCCTAAAAACCATCCACAAAATAGAAGATTCAATCTTGAGAGAGGATTATGAGATCGTCCTGGCCGAAATTTTCTTTTCGGTTTTTTTTTCCATATATACTAATATTTGGATGAAAAAAAAAAACTGAAAGAAATCCTGTAAAAGTATTGTTTCCAGGAAATTAGACTGCCGCAAGGAGGAAATGCTAAAATGGAGTGAATCAATTACCCAGTTCTCCCACTGTCTGGAAATCACACCGGAAATTCAGAAAGCTTAAGATGTGAGAAAATCCCATTTAGACTACTGTTATCGTAAGTAAAATCCCAGAAATTTCCTCCTTGGGTCTAATCGACATTTCATTTTGTTCAAGAGAGTTCAAAACAAATGAGAAAACTCAATCCCAGGCTCCCAGCATTAATTCTTTACAGGCACCCAGACTGCATCCCCAACTCAACTACTCCCATTAAAAGGGGAAAATGGCGAAAAATAACAAATTTCTCGAAATACCAAAATGCAGGGAAGACGAGACTTACTTGGAATAATTCTGCGTGGAATCATTCAAGCAGAGGTTACTGGACATGGGATACTGCTCAATCGAAAATTGGGTATAATCGGAAAATTCCTGCAAAACCGATTCCAATGTGTTCCCATCCGGCAAATATATATACTCATCCACATCGAAGTAAAACGTCCAATTCGCAGCATGTCTGTACCTGTGCAAGCAGTCATTGACCACCAAGAACTGGTTATAATAGTATCCGTCGAACTCTACCTGGTCCCTAATGTCCTGCACCGTGGCCCGCCCTGCCCGCACCCACGGCTCCAGTGCCGCCCTCACTTCCGGTCTGACCCCTCCTGCGTCGTGAAACACGAAATGTGAGCGCGGTCCGAAGAACCACGCGTGGTATGCCATCCACTCTCGTATCCTAGCGGCGCTCAGGTTGCCATAGAGGGAGGAACCGCAGTAGAGGTACGAGTATGGGTAGGGTGGGTTGTACTTGGATTCATTGTACGACCCTGATTTTTCTGATAAAGCGATTATCTTTTCGTAACGTTTAGGGGAAGGGCTGTAGTAAGCATAGAGTAGGAGCTTGCCGCCGGTGTTGTCGGCATTCGGGTTGATGGAGAACGTGCAATTGACGACGACGACGGTGTATACGCGGCCGTAGCCCCAGTCGGGAAGCATTTTGTAGGCCTTGGCTTTGGTGGACAAGTTGGAGTTGGAGAGCCACTCGCATTTGAACCAGGGGCGACCGTAGACGTGTAGGGGTTTTGAGGCGAGGCCGACTACGGCAAAGGTGCTAGGGCCACCGCGGTAGGCACCCATTTGGACGAAGAGAGAGGCAGCGTTGCCGTAGGAATGGAAGAGACGCTTGTTTGGATCGATGTTTGAGGTGGAAAACTTCTTGTAAGGAGATTGGTGGGTGGAGGAATTCGGTGGGGTTGTAATGGTAGCGTAGCAGGGGCGGGTGGTGGAGAAGAAGTTGTAGATGGGTTGGAGGTTCCAGATGGCCATGACCAACGTTAAGGCGACAAACGTGGCGACTAAGGGTTTTGTTTCGAAGCAGAGGGACATTTTTCTGGCCGGATTGTCAGAGACAGAGGGCGGTGCTCCGTCCTTCCTCGTGGCGTTCCAGGGATTCTGGTTTTGGTTACAGCTTTTCGATAGTGTGGCGATGACAGAGACTGAAACTCAGAGCGAGAGAGAGAGAGAGAGAGGGTGGAATTAGGCACTAGACACTAAGGCAGTGTTCTCCTTGACTTGAGAGTCGAGTGGTACTGATGTTATGTTTGCGATCTCCGGACTCCGGTTCTGTTTCTGGGCCTTCTGGCTTCTGGGGTTTCTTTGTTTCTTTGTTGTGGTCTCAAATCTCAATCTAGAAATGGACTTGGTTAAACTACAAATTACGAAAATGGCATTTTAGATTATTGTGTTCCGTTAAAAACCAGTGCCTTCAACGGTCCTTACATCACAACAATGCCCAAATGGTCCGTACCATTAACTTGCCACATCATATCTCTTAAAGTTGAGGGGATCGGCGCCAGCAACGGACACGTTAAATGATGATGGGTCCAGTAACAACCCATGTGTGTGCATCTAATCTAATGTGCTGTCAGGAGCAGATTCGGTCTTAGGTTTTAGTATCGCTTTTTCGATAAACTCTTTATTGCATGAGCATCATATGGCAGAAGAGATATGGTGATGCAGCAATGGGAACATGAGAGTTCGGATTTCCCTACCATTGGGGGTGCTCACGGTTCACCGTGGGCTTTTTTTTTTGTAACCGAATCGATACTATCGGTGCTTGAAAAATCGATAATCGAATTCGAATCAAAATTAGTTATCAGTTCGTTGGTTTTTTATTTATTAATTTATAATATATAAAAATATTAAATATATATATATATATATAATATAGAAATATATGTATATCAATCTGTTTGGTTAACTGTCGATTTTTTATATCGGTTAATCGAAACTGAATTGATACTTTCGATTTTTTTAAAATACTAAATTGACCAATTTCACTAATCGATTTTTTTATTCGATTTCAATCGTGTTACGGTCAATTCAATTTTTTTTTATATTTTTTACTTCTACTATCCATGATAATTCTACCAACACCTACCCACAACATCGCAGGTAGGAAAGATCTCATCCTCTTACATATTATCATGCACGGGAGAGATGTTCCTAATGCACATAGATAGTGTCTTGTGGGTAGACATGAATAGAATTCTTGTGGGCAGAAACATGGGTGTGGATTGGAACGAGAGCTGGGATTAGGGAATTGGGAGGGCCCAACCTGAGCCCGAGCTAACCTGACCCAACCAAAAATTTTATATAAGATGGATTTGGATTTTCAGTCATTGAATCTGAGAATTCGGATTTTTTTATATATTTAGATAAATGCATTTTAATATATATATAGATATAGATATACAGATATATATTTGCAGAAGTACATACATATATATATATAATTTTATAATGAATTTATTAACCAACCTGAGCTCAATCCAATTAAATTACAATGTAAACTGAGTTTAGGGTAGAAAAATTAGGCTTGACGTCAGGCTTCAGCGGCAGTAGATTCAATAACTGAAATCCGGAATTTGGAGGAGCAAGATCAGCGAATTTGTAGGGACCATGAATTTATTACTGTCATAAAACTAAGGTTCAGCCAATATGAATTCGATTTTGAGGCCCTTATTAGGAATTGGATCAGGTAGGCATGTGATTGTAACTACATTAAATGAATACTTAACACATGTCCCTTGAAATACCCCCATTCTAGCTGAACACGATTCCAGACAACTTTTAACTGTTCTTAGAATATTTATAAAGTGTTCACTGAATATACTTCTTATGTTGCTAGATCTGGTCCTTGCACTCGAGTTTCGGTTTACTCTTCCTTGACCAATTCTTTTCCTCGTGCATGTATCGACCACTAGGGGTCACCCAACCCGCTGAATCCGCCCAATCCACTCAGGATCTAACCTGCTCAACCCCTGTTTAACCCGTCCATTTACTTGGCAGGTTGGGTGAGGTTATGTGATCAACCCATCACCCAATCCATCCATTTAAATGGGTTGGGTTGTAGATAACCGTTGGGTTAACCATTACAAACAGAAGTATTAATTCTTTAGCATTTTTTTTTTATTTTCTTCATTTGAATTAAATAATTTATAATTAATGCATTATTTTTCTATTAATTGTTGACTAAATTTAGTTTTGTCTTGAATCAACACACTACACGCAACATAAATCCAAATCAATTTCACCCAAATCCGGTTTAGTTCAACGTAGTCTGACCCGATCCGGGTCAACTCAAATTTGAAATAGACCTCAAACGGGATGGCTCGATATCGCTTGCTTTGCCTGGTTTGGGTCGTCCGGTCCAAACATTATTCACACAGCCCTAGCCCAACCCGACCCAAGCTGATCCGGGGTGACCCAAATCCGAAGCGGGTCGAACCAGGTGAAGTCCAGACACTAAGCCACCCCACTTGCTTTGCCCTGTTCGGATCATCGGTTCGCCTTGTATCCATACAACCCGACCCAAATCCGACCCGGGTCAACAATGCTAGCTGACCTAGATCCTTTGGAGCCTTTGGCCTGGGACTAACCCGAACCCAGCTCGGACCGGTCCGACTGAAGTGAACCGGTCCAGCCAGGGTCTGGCCCCGACCGAGCTGAACCGGCCCGACTAGGTGTGGTCCCAACCGGACTGAATCCGATCTATTTGACTTTGGTCCAACCGGTTCAGTCGGGACCTGGTCCAGCCGGATTTGCTCCAAATCTAAGCGGTTCAACCACTCTTGATGTGATTATCTCAAAGACAATCCAATTAGATAGTTCAAGTTGATCTGACCGGTTTGAACCTAAGTGGTTCGTCAAATCCGAAGCCCGAACATAGGTAAATGGCTTTGCTACTTATGTAAAAATAATGCATGTAATGTGATTTGAACCTTCAGCACTTATGTAAATAACAACTACTATTACCACTAAGCTATAACCAACTTATTTATTAGGATGGAGTTAGTTTTTTTGTTTTAAGTACATAAATATAAGATTAATGGGTTTGGGCAAGTTGGATTGGGTTAAACCGGGTTTGGGTTGAACCCAACCCATTTAATTTTACATAATTGGGTCATTAACGGGTTGGCAGGTTAAATGAGTTGGGTTGAAACTCAACCCAAACCAAACCCAACCCAACCCGCCCAATTGCCACCACTATTGACCATGCCATTCAAGCTCTGTTTCAGTTCTTTTCAAGGGGCCAATCTCCTGTTTGGTTTCTTCCATTTGTAATGATTTTTCTCCCCCTTGAATGGGGTTCTTTCATGCTATGCCTTATTGGCCTCACTTAATAAATTATCTTTTCCTTGTATATATATATATATATAGCTTGGAATGGGAACAGGGTGCACTTTATGTATAGTCCGTTCGTTTGCGGTATTTAGTAGAGAGAAGTTGGTCAATCGATAATTTGGTCATGATCCTTATGTTCGTTTGTAGCTAGATAATGTGTTGGGAATGGGGTCACTGAAACTTGGAGGAGAGGCTCTAAGGCGTGTCTGAAGACACCGTCTTTAGAATGTTATTTGCCCCCACTCAGTTTTCATTGAGTTTGCTGTTGGGTTACAGGCAAATCTGTTCCCAGTATACAACAGAGCCTTAGGCGAGAATCTGCAACCAGTAAAGTTAAAGAGTCTCCAAAGAAACCTTCTGTGAGACTGTAGCAGACTAGACTGAGAGAAAGAGAGAGAAAGTGAATTTCGAAATTGCTGTGTGTGAAATGTCTGATTCATGCCCCTTAAATAGTTTCTAAAGAGTTATGAAGAAAAGGTAGGTACTAGTTTAAAGAAGACACCTTGAACAATCACAAAAGGTAGTTAACAGTTAATGACTATTAACTTTGAATTGTGCCTCTTGATCACACTCGATCGAATCGTGACCGTTGATCTCATTGTGCCACACACACGCACACGCATGTTGCATGGTATCAAACCTCCATACTTTCCTCTACTATTTCTAAGGAGTGTAAATTAGCTCCTATTAAAAAACCCAAAACAAAACTTATAAATATCCAATGTGGGATAAGTTCAAAACTGGTTTTAGTAATAGAAAAGTTGTTTTCTAAAACAAGTGTGCAAGTGCAATTTCTCATGTAATTGACCAATCAAACCCATTGGATTTAATCTCTAATGAGATTAAAATCCAACATAATGGATAGTATTAGTTACCCTGATATTGATACTCTCCCTCTTGCAAGGTGGATAAACAATTTCTGTGCGAGTTTACAACACTCTCTCTCTCTCCAACCTCTTTTTTTATCCAAATAACTTGTATCGCCTGAAACTTCATTTACCCAGATAAGTTTGATCAAAGAAACACTTGAGGCTGCGTTTGGAAATGATGCAAATGGAGTGTAAATCCCGGTTTAGGGTAAATTTGCACTCTAATTCACTTTTGCCTGTTTTTGGTAATATTACAGTTATGCATTGACAAATAACAGACCTTTATATTGATAATAAGATGTAAAAGTACATCAATAAAAAAGAAGTAAATTTGCATTCAAGTGGGCTTTTGATAATATATATATATATATATATATATATATATATATATATATGTTTTATTGAAAAAGTCTGTTTGTAAAAAAGGTAAACTTGTCAATGCAAAACTTAACTTTACAATTTATATGAACTATTTTACATTTTACATTTTTGCATTCACACTTATTTGCATCGTTTCCACGTACAGCCTGACTGAATAAATAATAAAGTAAAACCGAACAGGGCTTTAGTATTCATCAAAATTCACCACTCGGGGTGGGGGTGGGGAGGATTGATTGGTCACACTCTCAAACGTGGGATTGGATCTGGATGGATTTGATACCGGAAAAACTTTGAGCAAGTAGGCCCCCAATGATGTTACATGTAGGAGATCCAGACTGGCATCCGGACTGGGCCATAAGGCCCAGAGGCCCCAGGTCTGAACTGATGGAATCTATTTATGCCTAAACCAATGGTACAATGATATGTATGAGGGAGGTGGGTCTTCTTTCTCTCAAGGTGTCCGGTTTAATCGGGTCACTGGATTGCCGTGATTATAAACAGGGTAACGGGTGCTGGATGAATCAGAATTTTGGAGGAAGAAAAGAAGCAACCTGGAGTCTGGAGATATAAAAATCATGATTTTGAAATCGGATGGGACTGGACAGTTTGGACTGGAAAACTCAGGAAGTGGTTAGTTCATGGGTTTTGTTTCACCTTAAAACTGATTTTAATTAAAAACCAGTGATTTGA